GAAGTGTTGACTCTACCATCAGTAAGCTCTCGTCGGCAACATTCGAGCTTTAAGAAACTTTAAACCGCGTGCCAAATTCGCAACGGAAAGTAACTTTCGGGCGCCTGACGTCAACTACCCCTCGAAGAGGTGAGCCTTGCAAAAAGTTGTTAATTTCGACCCTACGAAAAAAACAACATTCCGTGCGCGTTTACAAGATCTTTCCGACGACACAAATTTGAAAACAATCGTACCAAAACCGTACAAGGAGCAAAACTGAAAAATCACCATATTAGTAAACCGTGCTCGGTGATGGCGCCCAGATGTCGCCGACCTCACAGCATGTATTTCTAAAGTTGTTAATTACACGGCCCCGGTAGGTACACGCACATTCCTCCTCTTTCTACAAACGTTCATCTACGGGCCCTCGATTGCTACTAGCCATCCGGTCAAAGTGATATTAAAAGCTACCTTTTTATAAATAAATTTGCCAAAATGCGCTAAAAAAAATAGACATTGAAGGCAACATCAACTATAAAAACATAAATATGAACGTGCCAAATGACATACCTATGCTATCTCAAATCCATACGTTGGTAAGAAGATGACACCAGTTATTGCTGTGTTCTATGTTGACACATAGTTTCCCATCAGGTTAAATTAAAGGTAATGTAAACGAATCTAAAAATGCATGTTCTCGAGATACTCCGCTACTTATTAACTATTTAACTCGACCTTGTGAAAAATTACAACAATTTGTCTAATAAAAAAGTCGCAAATTTGAACCACAATAATTAATAATTTAATTCGAATTATTTTTGCTATATTTTCTGTACCACACCGTTCATCCTCAATAATCCACCCAGTCAAAGGTCAAGGAGTTTGAATCACCCTGTATTGTATTGTATATGCTCAATACCTTATGCATTCTTTAATGGGCCAAAATTCGTCTTTGTATATGTTTTATAGAATGCCGCAAACCATTTAAATCTAAGGTTCGTGTATTTTGTTTATTATGTATTTTTACTGCAAAGTAAATAGAAATATGCCCCATACGGCCATACTATCAATTAACCCCAAGTTGTCAATCGAATTTAATGTTAAAAATAAGACAAAGTTGATTTTAAGTTTAAAGCTATTAATTTGGATTTGGTTCATCTTCAGGGTATGGTGCATATACAGGGTGTGTTTTTTCCAATGTTTAGTTTGGAGATAATGTAAACCGTAAAAGATATAAGGTCGCTTAAATATGCAAAGAATTGCCGAATTTTATGTAAATTAATTTTCCCTTTCAAAGTATCTTCGAATAAATCACATCCACTTTCTTATTCCTATCGATGCCCTATTGGATTTTTACGTCACTCGATAGAGAAAAAAAATTACAAAATCAGGGATACTAACCACCACATTTGATTTGGGAATAAATCTAGAATTATTCCCTTGAAGTACACTGTATTTTTAAGGCAATAATTCCGTGGCTTGCTTGAAATTATTTAACATTTTCCGTTTGATGAGGAATGATGAGTCATCCTGTATGCCTTATTTCAATTTTTGTTGTTAGCGGTATATGTGATCATGGTTTGGGTTGGATCACAATGCCGATCATGTCATTTGATTTCGAAGTTGATTTTACTTTGTATGAGAATTATTAGATGTAAATTTTCTTTAAATAATTGCCTTGTTAACGTTCTCCTAGCGAGTTTATAATTTTGAGGTGTCTGTCCGTCTGTCCGTTAGCACGATATCCCGAAAACGAGTGGACCGATTACGATGACATTTTGCAGGTGGATTCTTTATCAAATTTATCGGAGTTCGTGAATTGGCAATTCAGGTCAAAAAATAAGAAAGACCCTTTTGACATCTCCGTTAGTTATGAACCTACCATTATTACACCCGAATGTTAATACGCCTCTTTTCTATGGAGGGGGGAGTGTACGAGGGATGGAATGAGCACTGTTTTCAGGTTAAAATCGATGTACAGTTGCCGTCATAATAGGTGTTTGAGTTACCTTTCTCCAAGTGACCCAGGTCTTACTAAAGCTCAGGTCAATTTAATTTTATGGCACCCTACTGATGCTGTAAGAGCCTGTGTTGAATGTAATATACTTCATAAGATTTTCAAACGACAAATGTAACTTCCGTACACAAAAACGTTTTCCAGATCAGTACCTACTTTCATCCAAACTTTCGTTTTTTGCTTGTTCTTATTGTTGATAATTACAAATTAATGTTGACGGTAAACTAAAATCTGGGATTAATTTGTATCTAAAAAAAGATTAAATGTGGAAGCAGGAAAGATAAAATAAACCTAAACGTTTACAAACGCCTGTCTACATAATCTTTTACTTGTAAATGTAATTTAGTTAACTTGTGTGTGATGTAGGGGAAGTGCTCTCATGCATGTTGTAATTTCGTGACAAACTATTTACCTAGCATTATTCCACTAACAAATTGCAAAGTAATTTGAAGTAAACACCTACGTGTAATATGAAATTGTGTAAATACAACTGAAAGCAGCGAGCGATTGTGCACGAAATTAATCCAACCCTTAACTCAACTTTTCTCTATTAAATTTTCAGATTTGTTAGATTTTTATGTCTTTTCGTGTTGGTAACGGCATATGACTATAGCCTTTCTATAAATATTTCTCAATTAAAATGGAGGATACCAGTTTTTCAACAGTTCAGTAAAAAATACCTAATGTATTGTCTGTCATTTTAAAATACATACGCAACCAGTTTCTTATTTAGAACACACGCAATTGTAGAAAGAAGTATACAGAAATAAACTGAAACACCATTCATGGATGGTTGCATTTTTGAAATACTAGAAAAATTGCTTATTAATACAGGATATCAAACATCCAACATAAGTGCCTTCATTGACAAACGAGCCATCATTAAACACCTTATTAAAGTTGTTATAACAAAATTCAATAGATATGTCTGTAATTCCAGACACACTTCAAACTTGTCTGCAAGTTTTCTGGTTAATTGCATGCTTGTAGCGTTTTAAAATAGGGCAAACTTCTATTTGTGTAACTTCGATCATAATGCATGCATTAAGTTCAGACCGCATAAGTGAACATAGTCAAATTTTAAACAAATACATTATTATATTAAACAATAAGATATACTCTAATTCAAACTATTCTGTGGATGATAAAAGCGCTTGTGTCATTCCTTAGAAATTTAGAATCGATAAATAGTTAAACCAAAAGTGTTTTCTTCTGTGTTTTCAATGTAATTATTGATACTGGGGATTAAAAAATGTGTATTTTAACACCAGTTAAAGACAATTTTAAATGATCACATACAATTAACTTATAATGTATGTATGTATCTGCCAGTGGTGGCTTAAGGTTGGGAGGGGCGGTCAAATATGTCCAATTTTAATAAAACTGCCTATCTTCTGACTATATTTACTTCTGGCGCCTTTATTTTGAACCGGACGCAAAAAAATGGATGAGACTTTTTTGTACAGCTCATCAAGGCACTTCTTTTTTTTATATCTAACATTTTTCGCTATCTGAGAAAAGTGTACTTGACTGCCTCAAAAAAAAAATAAATGTTACGCCATTCTGTCGGTCAATATAATCATACTCAAAGTTCTCTTAAATAAATGTTATAATAATGTCATAAACCAAACCATCTTGAAAAATAAAACCGTTCAATTATTGAGGAAAGTTCTTTCATTGTAAGGTTCGGCATTAACTAGGTTGCTTTACAGGGCAAAAGATTATCCTCTTTGTTGTGTATTCAATTTAATTTATAGTTGGCCGAAACACTAGGGTTGCTAAGTATAAAATATCTAAATAGAATTAATAAAACTTCAACATCTAATTTATAAAACTGAATGTTTCTTTCTAAGCCTTTAAACGTAATAATGGTGTCAGAAGTGGGATTGACTCAAGAAGATAAAAAAGAAGAAGAAAAACGTATATAAATTTTGAAGCACGATCCAAACACCAAACACAATTTGGTACCTCCTGCTAATCCACAATCGAATCGCCAAACACAATTTGGTACCTCGTGCTAATTCACGACTGAACAATCTGTAAGTTCTTCGTAGTCGTTAAGCATGGAAGAATTCTCCCCCGAACTTCTCCGGGCATTCACCAGAATTCTCAACCGCGCCGCACAACTGTCAACCGTTAGTGACAGCGGCGATAACACCGACGATATCGTACCATCTCAACGACGACCACCTCCATTCACGATATCTCAGTACAGCTTAGTGGAACGAACAACTATCAAGGACTACTTCACACGTTTCTCCTGGGCTCTAGAACTGAGCAAAATTCCTGTAAACCAACACGCAAACTACGCTCGTGTTTATATGGGATCTGAACTGAATGATACCTTGAAATTTTTAGTGAGTCCGGCTAATCCAGAAACCCTCTCTTATGATGAGATCAAGACTACACTTAGTAATCACTTGGATTCGACACGTAATAAGTACGCGGAAAGCATTAAATTCCGACAAGTTAAACAAAACGAGGGTGAATCAGTTGCCAGTTTTTCACTCCGATTGCGCCAGACCGCTGCACACTGTGAGTACGAATCATTTTTAGACAGGATGCTTATTGAACAACTGTTACACGGTCTGTTATCTCGAGAAAGTTGTGACGAAATAATTGAAAAAAAACCATCCAAGTTTTCAGAAAAGGCATACATAGACATCAAAGAAGCACTGACGTCACCGCAAGTACTTATGCTCTACGATCCATCTCTTCCTATTTTACTAGCAACAGATGCCAGCAAAACGGGTCTAGGTGCAGTACTTTCACATCGCCTCGATAACGGACAAGAGCGCCCAATCGCTTTTGCAAGTCGGGCAATGTCTGCAACCGAACAAAGGTACCCACAGATTGATATAAGGAGGCTCTCGCTATCGTCTGGGCAGTAAAAAAGTTTTTCAATTATGTATACGCACGTCATTTTACACTAATTACAGACCACAAACCACTCACACAGATACTGCATCCTGAGAAATCTTTGCCAGTGTTGTGCATCAGTCGTATGGCCAATTACGCCGATTATCTTGCACATTTTGATTACGAAGTAGTATATAAGACATCAAAAGCAAACGCCAACGCAGATTACTGCTCAAGAGTCACACCACCAACGGGATCGGCAAGTGCAATTCGCCACATCTCATCGGCTACGAGGGAGGAGGTAGATGGGTTTGACGATTTCGATTTTTTCACAATTCATCAGATTCAACAGCTCCCTGTCAAATCCGAAACTATAGCCCGCGAAACTAGAAAAGACTTGCATCTCGGCCGAATTATTCAACTTTTAGAAACAGGCCAAAACTTGGCCCAACATGGTCTCAAAGCGCCAGAGGTTAAGTATACACTCGCTGCGAACTGTCTGATGTTTGAACATAGAGTGGTCGTACCACCGACGTTACGACACGCTATCCTCAAAGACCTGCATGCGGCCCACTTAGGTATAGTCAAGATGAAGGCAATGGCACGTTCCTTTGTGTTTTGGCCGGGAATCGACACGGACATTGAGAATGTAGCAAAGTCCTGCACAGATTGTATCAGACACGCTCACGTTCCGCCCAAGTTTCGAGAACATCACTGGGAATACCCTAAAGCACCGTGGGAACGCATTCACATTGATTACGCGGGTCCAGTAGCAGACAAAATGCTATTGATCATCGTAGATGCCTACAGTAAATGGCTTGAAGTAAGACCTACGACTTCCACGACAGCCACCGCCACAATTACAATCCTGGACGATTTATTCACGGCATACGGTGTGCCAGTTACGGTAGTGTCAGACAATGGTAGGCAGTTCATCGCAGATGATTTTAAAAGCTTCCTACGAAATAGTGGCGTGAAGTATCACAAACTGTCGGCACCTTACCATCCCTCTACAAACGGGCAAGCAGAACGCTACGTTCAAACTGTGAAGGATGCGCTTTACGCAATGAAAACAACTAAAGAAACGCTCCGGAGCAACCTAAACGAGTTCCTTCGTCAATACCGGAAGGCTCCACATTCGGTTACGATGCTTCCACCGGCCCGACTTTTCCTAGGGCGAGACCTACGAACTCGTCTTGACCTGACAAGACCTGACGATGTCCAGACAAGAGTCACCCAAAAACATCAAGCAAACATGAGCTCTACCTTCCGCATACTAAACGTTGGACAAGATGTGTACTTCTTATCTGGAAACAAAAACATGGACAAATGGCTCCCAGGAGTTATTACTGCTCGCCTCGGAGATCTTCACTATGAAATTAAACATGGGGATAAAACGGTGAAACGTCATATCGACCAAATTAGAATATTCGCAGAAAATATCAAAGAAACAGGTGTCGACCAACAACGAAAAACAACGCCTGAAGAGCCCATATTGCGACGTATTCGTTTTCATGGCCAACAAAGGAACTCGCCAGCGGCCGCCGAGCCCACTCTGGGAACAGCTACCCCAGTTCTATCACCAGCGCAGGAAACTGCCAGAGCCGACGCGACTGAAAGAGACCAGGTGACACCGGTAGCTCCAAGAAGGTCGGAACGGACACGACGCGCTCCTCTCCGATTTACACCAGTTCACAATTTGTTTAATTAGATTTCATTTTGTAAAGAGGGAGGAATGTTGTGTATTCAATTTAATTTACAGTTGGCCGAAACACTAGGGTTGCTAGGTATAAAATATCTAAATAGAATTAATAAAACTTCAACATCTAATTTATAAAACTGAATGTTTCTTTCTAAGCCTTTAAACGTAATACTCTTCTAGGCCAATATTTCTCTCGTTCTAGTAAAAGCAATATTAATGTTTGCCCGAACATTGATCACTTCCCTCCCATACGCCCATTAAACAAATAAATGAATGCCAAGCCCAAAAAAGACCAATATGTTTGAGGTGCACTTTAAATGTATAAAGAATGCATTATGAAAAGAAAATATAAAAAAAGGAAGCTTTTCCAAGCAATCAAATTGTATCTCTCCAACCCGACCAGGCAGGTGTGAAAGCATTATATGATCTAATTAGAAACGATCACTTCGACATGTCACAAAAATAAATCGGCGAGATTTCGCAATAGAGGATTCTGAAACCGTTCTTCCTTCTACATTTCAGATTTAATCTTCAATGTTTACTAGTGACGCAATGTCACGACTATAGCTTGCGTGTGTGGGACACGTGCAATACTTCGGCCTTTTATATCAGATATGATATGATGATGGCATTACGTATTACGTACAACACGTACCTTATGTTAAATACGATATGTATATTTGTATATCTCAGTAATATTGTTTGAATTTTTTGACATCTCTTTTAACCTTTTATTTAAATACGTTGTTTTCTTAGAAGCTGATACAGTGTGCTCACACATTTTGCATGCGAGAAAGAACAATAGCAATTTCCCGGTTGAATTACGGTTTAAGGTAAGAGAAACAAATCGTTTTTCATTTTAGGCACAGGAATTGTAGATTTTCAGAATCGATTGGCTATTGGCTATCGCGTATTATACGGAAACAAGTTTATTAGCGCACCCTGTACCATAAACGTTAAACCTATTTTTTATTGTAGGTATTAACATTTTACAACGCAATGTAACTTATGTATCTTGGACCCTAGAGGAGTAGTCGAGAAAATCGAGTTATTCAAAGGGGTTTAGGGTTACTTATTGTTGACAGTTATGCCTGTTTACCTATTTATTATTAAGTGAAATTCCATTGTTAATATCTTTGGTGATTATATCAAACGAGTACTAATTTTTAGTAAGATGCTACTGCTACCGAAGCAGATAAAAGTAGGTTTGGAAGTATCAAATCAAACGGTTTAGATAAAACACCATAAAATGTTTAAGAACTAATAAAGCTGTTCCCAATGTTTATTTTACGTATAGTACCAATTAGCGGAACTAATTTTCATTTTATTCGACTGGATTACCATCAAATTTTTATTATTAAGAAATAATTACAAAACTTTGCATCTTGCAACTACTAGATGAGAGAATTGTACCAATTATCATAAAGGAAGCAATAAATTATAAACTGATAAATGTTCGTATGCATAATCAAGTTGAGTAATAATAAATGAATAAAAATATACCAGTTTAATGGTGCTCTTAGGAAGTTTTGTATATTTAATCATGCAATCCCCTAAGTTTAAAAATGCTAAATAAACCATTTATTCACAGCAGCCCCAAAGTTTGGTGTGTGAATTGTAGCGTAATGAATCTTTTTACAACGCCTTTAAATCAGATTTCAGCCAGGGGTAGATTACACATAAGACACCATGTACTGCAGCCTAGGGAATTAAAGTGAAGCCCATTGAGAATATGTCGATATTTGACGAGATTCAATACATTTCAATCAAATGGGAAGAAGATATCGAAGTTTTCAAAATCATCGATATAGTTTTGTAAATACTGCTGTTATTTATACAAGGTGCTTCAACGGAAATGTCTAGCCCCCTCTAACATGAATAAAAATAAATGTTTAAAAAAAAACAAAAACCGGTCGATTTTAACCAAAGAGAAGAGGGCTAGTTTTTATAGAAAAATAACTCTTGCAACTTCAACCCTGAGCTAGGGGTTTGCAACCCTCACAAATTTTTAAATAGGGCGACTGGCCCATAAATACACAAACCGTTACCTAAAAGTATTCTTGACTCCCATTAAAAATTGAAAATTTGCATACCAAGATAGTTTTTCATGATCTATCGAATGAAAATATTATCATGATCGTTTCACTTCCGGTTTTACAGGATGTGGATAGTAGCTTTCTTATTTTAAATAGAACGCCCTATATTTTATTCTATTTTCGGAATCTAAAGGAACATCTTACGTCGTTTTTCTCTATACCCAGCATCAAATGTTTTCATTCAAGCTTTTTCAAAATTTCTGACGTTTGACTGCTATTCTCTTGCGCCCTGTACGGCTCCGTTGATTTGAATTTCAAAAAGCCTTCCAAAATCAACAAATCTGACGTGATGCGAATGATTTAAATTTCGATCGCCCTTCTACAGGGTGTTTTAAGACGGATGATAAATTTTAATAACTTCAAACCTTATCCTTTTAACATTCGAGCGTTTCATATAAACGTTACATATAAATTTCGAAACTAGCATGTGTTTTCAACACTAAAATAAACGAATACACGCTTTTTAAAAAGTGTATGTTGTGCAGAACTAATACATTACAATCTATGTATGCCCAAAATAACAACACAAACGAGTTTTCGAGATTTTATTCTGGCGAAATCTCATCTTATTCTAATAATAATACGTTATTGTGTATACATTATTGCACAAAGGATCTAAATTCCGATTAAATAATGGATTAATTAGAGTGTAATGTAATTAGAATCCCGAATCTCGACCTTGTGGATTTAGTGAAAATGGAAAAACATAATTCCGCTATTTTCCCGATTTAGAACAAATATGTCCCCTAATTCCAGGCCGAAGTTATCGAGTTCAAAATTGTAGGGTGGTTAGATAGCGCTATTGTTGAAATGGGAGCAGAAATGAGTGTTTTTCTGAAAAATTGTTTATTGGTATAAAGGAAAATTCTACCTGAATGGTATAAAGCAAGTCTGATAGGCGTTGCATACGATCTTAGGGTGGGTACTTGTTTGTATATAATGGAGTGCCTACTCTACAGGGTGAACTAAAGTTAAACGCCGCACAAACTGCAAGAGCTGGTATATTCATACATTTTAACGCACGAAACGGGCACGGCTCACACAAAATTATTATGTCCACTTAGTCATTAAACACTAACCTCCATCTCTTCAGCTAAGAAGCAGAAATTACTAAAAGTATGCACTAATAATATACTTATAAACTGTTCAGTTTAACACCCAAAAAAATCTAAAGAGTAAGGCCGTTAATACTAAAAGCCCAAAGGTAAAGGATCACGCACTTGAAGATTAAGTTCTGAACACATAGCATGTACCCAAAGATATGAATAATGCATGCAGTTGTTCTGCATACACACGTTGGATTCAAGTTGCAATGCGGCTGTCAAGTGAATTTCTGATGGATTGTTTGCTTGTTGCCAAGAAACTGTCCCGATGTCTTTGCACAATCGTATTGTACCTATATAGGAGATATTTTAAAAGGTTTTCCGTAGCCTTCCATGCAAATAAAAGAATCATCTTTTTATAATTTGCAAAAGTGCATTCAACGTGTTTAGATCTTATTTAGATAACGTAAGTGCACTGCTATTTCGATTCCACCTTCAAGTGTAATTTCTAAGAAACGAAAGCACTCGAAATTCCATTTAGTGGAATACGGCAGGCTCGCCGGGTTTTCTCAATTCCGCGAAATAAATACGACATCCCTTGCCGATAATAAGCATTTGAGAGTTGCCTTCTTTATGTACGGTAAAGCGTATTTATGCAAAGTTGTTTCGGGATATTACGTAAATAATATATCACACTATATGAAAAAAGGACTGGTTAAAAAGAAAAAAATTCCGTATATACGGATATTGATTGGACTCGTATACTGACATGCGAAATAAATTTCTGTTTCTGCTAAGTGTTGCCAAATGCAAATATGACGGGACTTCCATCATAAATTAAAATAAAGTAAGCATTCTTCAGTTGATTAAATGATTTAGTATGATAACTTGAACATGATTTTCCAAATAAAAAGTGAGCAAATATGGTGTTAAGATGTGGGTGATTTTTTGAGAAATCTCCACTCAACTTCAATTTTCAACCATGCAAAGCATTAACTTCTTTGTGCAAAGAGTAAGTGTAAAGAAACAAGCAACAAGATCACATTTTGTTTCCATTCTTCACAAAAGCATTCACTTTAGATATGGGAATTTGATTAAGCTTGCCCTTATTCTCCAGTGTTAAAAAGCTGAAATAGGCCCCCATTAAAATAATTTAGTCCTAAAAAACAAGGCAATGTAAGAAACTCGTTAGCGATGTTGATGGTTTCACACAAGCAGATATTCGGAATCCATCTACGAAAATAAGGATCTCCGAAACCATAGAAGATGCGCGATGGTCAAATTTGGGAAAAGTTGCGCAATTAAACAATTATTATCAAGACAAGACAAATTCCGATTACTATAATACGAAGATATTCCAGAAAAACCGAAATTTGCCGATTGCGTTTTTATTTTTTTCTGATGTTATTTGAATAGATACAAAAAATAAAAAACACTTTCTCATTGTTACTTTTTGCGCTCTACAAGGCACCGTTGATAGATTTTCAATATAACGTTTCGTTTCGTAAAAACCATTATCAACTTTATTTTTTTATATGATCCATACAAAAACCACACACTACGAGCATATTGAGTAGCATTTTTTATTACGAATACAACGATATACGGCACAAAAAAAGTTGGAAACTGTGGATTTCAACAGGATGGTGCATCCACACACAACGCCGTAATAATGCGAGAATACGTATGGGACAAATGCTCCATTCCTCAGGAAATTTGTCCGGTAAGTATTCTAGAACAATTAGGGCTTTGTGAGCGAGTGCACCATCCTGTTGAAACCAACAGTTTCCAACTGTTTGTTATTTTGTGGGCATTAACAGTTATTCTTACAATTGGAAGAGTGCAAAATAAGCGAAAATAGTGTGGTTAG